CCAGTGGGAGGAAAAATGCTGGTGGCGCCTTGCAAAAAGGAGTCGGGAGCAGTTGCCGGTAGCGCAGAAGCTGCACTTGGCCAAAAAAAAAAGGCGCGAAGCAACGGAAACCCCACCTCCTGCACTCGCCAGCTGGGCTCTGCTCTAGGAAGGAGGCACTGGCAAACCACTTCCGAAACACCTTGCCTTGAAAACTGCAAAGGACTCGTCCAAAAAGCAGTCACTGCAGAGTCGGTAACAACTGAGTGCAGATTAAAAAAAAAAAAAAATCATTTGCAACTACATTAAAATAAAAATGCACACCTTGCCTTGAAAACTGCAAAGGACTCGTCCAAAAAGCAGTCACTGCAGAGTCGGTAACAACTGAGTGCAGATTAAAAAAAAAAAAAAATCATTTGCAACTACATTAAAATAAAAATGCACACCTTGCCTTGAAAACTGCAAAGGACTCGTCCAAAAAGCAGTCACTGCAGAGTCGGTAACAACTGAGTGCAGATTAAAAAAAAAAAATCATCATTTGCAACTACATTAAAATAAAAATGCAGTTTTGACCTCACAAGAGGGCCGCACTCGATTTGGACAAGGCTGCACATGGCCTTGGGAAGAAGGTTTGGCACAACCACCAGCTGCCTCACAAAGGGCCAGGCAAATCTTGTCAGCAGCAGGAGGAAGACGACAGTGAATATCAGCTGGGAGCACCAGGGCCAGTAGAACCCAGGGCGGCAGAGGCAGCAGAGTGCAGGGCATCCAAAAAGGCAGAGATGGGGGGAAGATAGGCGGGTGGGAGGAGTGAAAGTGCCCCTGCGGTCAGGTTAAGTGTGGGCAGACTGCCAAGCATCCACATTTTGATCACGTGACTACAGGGGTGCTGCAACAGCCATAACCTTGGGGACCAGGTGTAACTGCCATTTGTTTAGTGCTACCATAACTTCAAACTGTCACTGAATGAATGGTCTTTAAGCGAGGACTACTTGTAACATAAATCTAGACTGCCAAGTCAATGGATGAGGGAAAGAAAGACGCTACAAGGTCAATACGTGAAAGTTTGAATGACTACTGTTGTGAAAACAGTCCAAATATTTTTTAAAAAAATCAAAATACTCAAAAAACCAGACAATATTTGATTTTAAGGCTATGCCTGCTGGATGGAGGTCATGAGGACAAAAGAGAGGGACATCTGGTAACCCTACTTAGGTGGCATAGAAATTGCCAGTCTGGAGCACCCCAGGGTTTCCATAGCCCTAACCAGACCTGCTCGCTCTCTCTCCCTCCCTCCCTGTCTCTGTCTTCCTATTCTGACTGGAATGAGCTCTAGATGGGACCTAGCTTTATTACAGAGCTCTGAACTGGTTCCCAGACTGCGCTGTTCCTGTATTTTGCTGCCAATTCCTTGTATGGAAACAAATGGGACTGACACTTAAATTTACATCAGTGCTGACAACAGAGTACAGAGATGTCCACTGGCACATGTAAGGGCAGTAAGATAGTTTAGAGCAGGCCTGCATAACATATGCCTCTTGTGCAGCCCATTGGCATTTTTTAAAAAGTAATTAGTTTGCTGCTTCCATCCTGAAAGATGTGCTGCCGAGTGCCTCCAAGCCTCACCGCCACCCACTGCTCCAGCGCTGTCACCACTCTGCTAGCTATCAAACAGCTGATCAACACACCACATATTCCTTTGTGCCCCACAGTGGTTTTTAATTTATCAGTGTGGCCCTTTCTCCTCTACAAGTTGTGCAGGCCTGGTTTAGAGAGGGAAAGGCAAATTGGATATATCCCAGCTGATTCATTCTTTAGTAGAGGGAAATATCTGTAAGGCTGCCATTATTGCACTCACAATATCTGCTTTTGGGGCAACTGCCTCAGTTATGTCCTTATAGTTTTATGCCATCTGCTGGTCCTTTAGTATGTTTGCCTGTTTATTGCTGTGTAAATATGACAAATGCATACATGCTATAATGACACATGATAACTGACACACAATTTTTATATTTTTTCTTAAATGAAAGTGGTTTTCGTGTGAAACACTGATTAATTCTGCAACCAAGTGAATCATAATCCTTTTGACAATACCTAGCCAGCTTGGTTTAGTTCATCATCTAGTTGCTACATTTTGGGGGAGGGGTGCGTGTGTCTGTAGAAGGCACATAGGTAGCACTGGGTAGAAAAAATGATAAACTTCTTATCAAGCCAGGGAGCTTTGAAGAAAAGTGAGGGTTTAGGCAATAACTCTCTTCAATTTTTGAAAGACAGATTCATTAAGAAATTATTTGCTGATTAATTAATTTACCCCTTACATGTGATTAAAGATTCACAGGAGAGAACTCATGGTATGGAAATACTAGCCACAGGGTTCAGATAAGATTTTTAAAAAACGGGCTAAACTTTTCTCCACATTAACATCCCGTCCCCAATTCTGAGTGGTATACCTGGGTCTGGTCAGTGCCATTTAAAATATGCATAGTAAAATCTATAAATAAAATTTAAATTTAATTTAAATAAAAATAAATTTAAAGAATGTAAATTCTAACCTAGTCACCTCCTTGGCTAGTTACAGAGACAAACATTCTACAGAGTACAATTCGACCATGTAAACCTCATCAATATTCAGAAGTGAATAGTAAATACTTAGTACTTAGTACTCAACTATCATTGCCAGAACCAAACATCAGTCTCTGATGCCCCTGATGTTACAATGTAATGAGTTGTTTCTTGCCTCAGTTTAAACTGCTGATCCTGTCCTTTAAAGCCCGAAACCAGGGGTGACAATTTATGGCTACCAGGCATAATCATTTTTGCACCACCAACTTCAATGGCAAAATGGTCTAAGTTTTTGGTCTTTTTTGTTAATTTAGCTGTGAAATAGGTTTGTTAAGCCTTACTGCTTCATGTGACTATTTTGGGTAAAACTCTCCCCTTGTGTCCACCAAAATAGTGGATAAAGAGGCTGAACATGCAGATCGGGCCATTCTGGTGACGTCACTCTATTCTCTTGCAGCCCTCAGAGGCTGAAAATAGGAATGATTTTAAAAATGCAGCCCTCAGAAGAAAAAATTGTCCATCAGTGTTGGCCTAACATATTTAAAAGACTGCAACTCAGTGAAGCTGGACCTTAATGTTGGCAACCACCATCTCTTCAGCACAGGTCGCAATCTGAAGGAGTGGTTGAAGGAACAGTTCTGTGACCAGCCTATTGAGCACTGTGAGGACACTCGATTACATGATGCTGCTTATGTGGGGGACTTGGAGACCATTCAAAGTTTATTTCAGGAAGAGAGCTTCCAAAGGTAAATATTCATTTTACTGAATCCAAATATAATGGCTTAGATTGCTATGTTGTACATCTTGCCTCTTCTTGTTATGCAGATTCTCATTAAATAGATGACAGGAAAGATCATGATAATTTTTCCATGGCTTCCATATATTTAAGATTCTATCTGACAGGTTATCTTGCTTTTTGAAGAGTTTGGTTTACTTCTAAGATTCTTATGGTAATAGTTCATATGCACATGAATAAGTTGTGACTGCACATAGTCATGTAAAGAAGCACCAAATGAATTAGTCACATTTGACCTATGTCAAATGTTATTAGTCACATTTGACTTTTGCTAGCACCTTCAATGTAGGTCATCCACCTGCTTAAATCTGATCCAGGCAGAATGCTGAGGCATCATCCAAGGTTCAGACCAATGTGGAGTTATTTCTGTAGGCACATTATTAAAGTTTTCTCCAATGAGCACTCTCTGGGCAGAAAAGTGAGATATAAATTTAAGAATGAGAATAAGGATAATATTCCTTTAGAATACATGGGAAACTTACATAGAAAGGTATATCTTTACATCTGTGATCAGAGAAGTAAAAGTTGATACTTAATATTAGCTCCAGATTTGTTCAAACAAGTCTAAGGGTACCGCACTGGCAAAAGTCAGGCAAGATGTTAGAATATTCAATGATATCTTATTGTGTTGTGTTACTTTCACCTTTCTTCAGCCGCATCAACAAGAAATCTATGTGGTGTTGTGGGTGGCTGCCTTGTACACCCCTACGGATTGCTGCTACCGCAGGGCATGGAAATTGTGTGGAATTTCTAATTCAAAAAGGAGCAGAAATTGATCTTGTGGATGTGAAAGGACAGACTGCCTTGTATGTTGCTGTTGTGCATGGACACCTTGAATGTGCACAGCTCCTTTTGAAAGCTGGTGCTGACCCTAATGGGAGCCGTCATCACCGCAGCACTCCCATATACCATGCTGCCCGAGTAGGCAGGGCTGACATCTTAAAAGAACTGATCAGGTAATCGCTGATTATTTTACTCCACTGTCATTTAAGAGCAGTTGGCTTTCAGGGGAGTATGTCAGGTAAGACATTCAACAGAGGTGCTTTGGAAAGCATATTAACACAAAGCATTTATATGTCATTCAGAAAACTCAGCAGCTGCTTTAAAAGTTGTCCCTGCTATCTGCACACATCTGTGCATGCACAGCCATTTCACTTTGCTAGTAGTCCCAGCCATATTTTTGACCCACTCACACAAATTGCAGCATATCTTAATATGCCATCACATAAGGACTTGATAAGCAGCCACACATGATCCCAACAACTATAAGGTGGTCAAGGGTTTAAAAAACCTTAAAACTCATCCCAAACTTATTTAGAAATATCTTTCCCAACATGATGCCTTCCAGCCGTGCTAGATTGTGAAAACCCAGTAATATTTTTCTTTAGTATCATTGCTTAAGAATTCTTATTGTTAGATCTTCCACATGTCTTAGTTGTACTATGTGTTTTGGTCCCAACAGTTGTGTAAAGCAGACACTATGAAAGTTCTTGCCCCTGCTAATTCAAAATAGAGGGGAATAGATATATGATGTATGATGAACGAGCTGCATGACAGAATACAAAGCTGTTTGTTTGTTTGTTTGTTTATTAAATTTGTATGCCACCCATCTCCCCCAACGGGTGACTCTGGGCAGCTCGCAATTAAAACAAAGCCCACAAACAATTAAAAAATAAATAGTTTAGCTGCTCCCATTTGCTTCTTTTGTCTTTGTTACAGGACTTTTCATTTAACTATAAATTATATAAAGCTCCTACAAATTTCTTGATCCCTTGCTGAATTGGTGTTCATGAGATTACTGTAGTGAAATAATATGCTTCTTTTTGGCAGATTTGGACCACAAGATAACCCAGCAAGTGGCAAGATATGCAGTGGCAGTAAGGAAGATAGAACTACTATATCTTAGGAATCTCTTGCCTGGATTTTAATAATGGAAAGACTTCTCCAGTCTTTTTGCCAAACTGGAATAGAGACTGTCTTTAAATACTTCCTGGCAATTCGCTTTGTTGTTAGTTTAGCAGACCAAAATCTCACATCTTTTTGTATAATCATTTTTATAGCCAAATATTAGTACAGTGTGGTAAACTGCAACAGGGAAAGTCAGCCAAAAGTATATTTCACCCAGAAGGTTCAGAAGTTTGGGCTCAAGTAGAATTGATTCTAATACTGCCTCAATTCCAAATTCTTTAAGTTATCCTTGCTATAAGGAAGGATGAGAAAGATGATTTTAAGGGGAGAGAGTAAACTCAAAAAAACAGAAGATAAGGAATATTAAGAGAATATTGAAAGAATAAACATTGTATTTAGAAAGCAATTCTAATATGAAACTAAAATTATGAATAAAATTAATGAATGAATAAATGAATAAATTTAATGCAGAAAAGCATAAATTTAAAAACTTCATATTATAGAAGATGCAGGGTTATATGTAATAGAGTTTACTGTCCACTTTGATTAATAGCTTTTCCTTTGGGCATGAACAAACAATAGAGAATGTAGGTATTTACTTGCTGAATGTGGGTAGTTACTTGTCAGACATACCTAATGCAAACATCTCTCTGCTAACTCTGTCATTGTCAACAATCAGCTATACAAATGGGGAGGCTGGGAGGATGTTTAAAAACTTTAAGTTGGAAAGGCCATCCATTGGTCCTTTTAAATGTCGTTTTATCCATGGCTTGGCCAAACACTGAGACAAATTGGAGTGGCAATTTACGAAGTGAACAGTAGCATCTGCAGGTTCTTGCTGCTTTCATCAGAGTGATGAAAGCAACATCACGATGTCTGCCTCTTTTGGGTATGTGCATGACATCACACTGCATGTAGAAAAGGAGTGGGGACTCTGTAGTGTGATTCCCCCTGCCCCCCGCCCACAGACTTTATTGGGAGTGAGGGAGCAAATAGGTAACAATTCCTCCTACATTGATCCAGAAGTAACTTATTTATTTCCTAATTCAAAATAACTGTCAACCCAGGAATAGAGAAAGAGAAATTACAATCTTATGTAAAAGAAATATTTTAAAAAACGATTAAAAATGACATTTTGTATTCTTAACATACACCAAAGGGAAAAAAATATTCAGCAGAGTAGCATTTTAAAAAAATAGTGTACAAGTTGACAGAATTTCTGTGTGAGTCCTATTGGGTGTCTATCAGTTTTCACCAGTTAAGTAATAGTGTTCAATGTGAGAGACTTGGAGAAGTAACAGAATCTTGATGGCTAAGCAAATCTGTCCAATGTCTACTTAAAAGAGCCCCATTTGTACTTTTGAGAATGCTTCTTTTTGGAAGCTGAATGTGCAGTCCTGGCCAAGGAACAATTCTCAGGACCATCCAGGATCAGGATGTAAAAACAGTCAGTTGTTTTCGGGGGGAATCAGGGATCCTTGAATATTATACCTTATGACACTTTCCCTAATTTGTCAGTAACCCTTTGTTTGTCTGTTTGTTTATATGGTCAGTTTTTCAGGCTGCCCACTTCCCAACAACTTTGTTGCACTGTTGATCCTCAGCAAGGGGAAGGTGCCTTTCTCTAGGATCCATATGCAATGTAGATGGCACACAGTGACAAGACTGACATAATTTCCTGCATAATTGGGGAGAATGGGAGAAAGAGTGGGGAGGCAACAGATAGAGCATCTTATTCATACAGTCTGGTGAAGGAGCAAAAGTCCAGCCCAACTAAAAGAAATATTTCCTTCAGGATTTTTGCCATGTCTTTGAGGTGATTTTTATCTGATAACTTTTAAGAGCTATGATTATGATGGGCAATTTTTCATTCCAGTCCTTCCTGGTGGTCTTTATTCCTGGAATGTTTTCCTGTTCAAAACCTGAAATTAGGACTTCTCTAACGTTGCATTTACTGTAAAAAGAGAAGGGAAGTTGTTAATTGATGGATTGTTTCCTTTTTCTTTTCTGGGTTTTCTTTGAGAGAAAGAAATGTTACAAAAATTACTAAACAGAGACCTGAAAACAAGTCTACTGCCCTTCCACAGGTGTATGTTGCACCTGCAAGCCTATTCTTTGGCTTCCATTTCTCTTGTAATCATAAGAAGGAAAAGATGCTAATTTTTATCATCACAAAGTTAGCAACTCTTGGATTTAGACCCACAGGATGTATTTTGCCCAATTTGTTATTTTAGTGATAAAGTGATATTAGATTCTACACTCAGTTCAGTTTTTAGATAAAGCTATTGGAGGCTCTTTCTAAAGAGTTCCTCCAAGATCAAAAGATAGCTTATGAGCAAGTGAAGGTATATAAGGATTGGCAAATACTTTGCTATTCCTCAAAATGTTCTTCTCTGGATTTTGAAGGTGTAGATTTTGAAACCATATATGTTTCTGATTTTTGTAAGAACAGAGGTTTCTGACTGCCCTAGCACCTTAGAGGAGTGCACTCTGTTGCTTGGCTATTGGACTATGCTCACAGGATCTGAAGCTTGCTTTCCACTGGCAGAGGTGTTTCTGAGAGTGCCTGAGTCATCCAAGAGGGTAATAACTTGTTCATTGTATTTTTAAGGTCATGCCATATGATTAAGATCTATGTGACCTGGCACCAGCTTAGTGGCATTATTCATACAATATTATGGAAAAAAAGGTTTTCTGAAAGCTAATTTTTCATAATGTAGGATCTCATATATTATTTGCACTGTTCCATCTACAAGGCTCAAGAGCTTACACTTCTGGACCAAAGATGTTTCCACATCCTTTGCTAGAGAAACAGACTTTCAAAATTCCAACATCCTGTCTGAGGCAGATGTGCCACGCACTCAGATGAGATTCCAGCAAAAGAACATCTGCAGGGGAAAGAATTGTATCTAGCCAACCCTGAAAGATCCCAGCCATCCAAAGTAGCATCCTGCCCCTACTCATGGGTCATCTACTGAATAGTAATATATTTATTTAGGGGGACCTACTTGTTGAGCTTAGAGCCAGTTTGGTGTAGCAGTTAAGGCATCAGGCTAGTAACCGGGAGACCGGGAGTTCTAGTCCCACCTTAGGCACGAAGCCAGCTGGGTGACCTTGGGACAGTCACTCTCTCAGCCCTAGGAAGCAGGCAAGGGCAAGCCACTTCCAAAAAACCTTGTCAAGAAAACTGCAGGGACTTGTCCTTATAGTTGCCAGGAATCAAGAGCGACTCGAAAGCACATACAGATGCATACACAAAAAGTGGTTGAGCCACTATTTTAGCTTTCCTCTCAGATTACTATATAGGTCTCTCTGAATTCCTTTCTCTGTCCTCTGTGACTATGTACAATTTTGTGCCCTATTTATGTCAATGGTGGAGTTTTGTCATGCTACTGGGGATTAAGTGAACTTCAGGAATTATATCTGCAGAAAAGGAAGACAGCACTTCCCTTCAATATTTTCTATGAAGGAGACGGGGATGCCATATTCTACTTTAGACTTTGTTGAGAGATGTGCTGGGCTTAATCAAGTCATAGGTTGGAAGGGACCTTGGAGGTCTTCTAGTCCAGTACCTTGCCCAGGGCAGAAATCCTCCAACCATCCCAGACAAATGGCTGCCAACCTTTGTTTAAAAAGCAGAGGAGGCAGGCTGTTCTTCCCGCATTTGAGTTTGGATCTCTCTATCTAAATCACCCATTAGTTCTTGTTCTATTCTCAGGCACCATAAAGAATAAATCCACACTCTCTTTTCTGTGACAGCTGTTTATTTATTGGAAGACCATTATCATGCCTCCCTTCAGCTTTCTCTTTTTTCGGCTAAACATATCCAGTCCTTTTAACCTCCCTTCCTAGGATTTAGCGTCCAAGCCCCTCGTCGTCTTTGTTGCTTTTCTCAGCCCTCTTGGATCCTCAGGATCCTTCTTGTATTCTGATGATCATAGCTGAACACAGCATTCTAGGTGTGGTCTGACTAGTGTGGCATAGAGTGGAACTAACCCTTCCCATGATGTTGAGATTATACTTCTGTTGATGCATCCCAATATTGCATTGGCTCTTTTGACAGCTGCAGCAGAATGCTGTTTCGTGCATAATCTGTGGTCTCCCAGGACACCCAGATCCTTCTCACAAATATTACTGCCTTGCCAGGTACCACCTATCTTGTACGTGTGTATCTGGTTTTTCCTATCTTAAGTCGAAACCTTATATTTCTCACCATTAAACTGAAATGGTATGTGTCTATGTGGTAAAGCAAATGGCTAATAGTTTTGTCAATATGAAGTTTTAATTTGCCATTGCGATGGAATAATGCTGAAGACATGGAGGAAAAGCATTTGACAGAATAGCATGGGGCAACATAATCAGGTAAGAGCATTGGCTATGGCATAATGTATTAAAATACCACATTCAGTCACAACTTTCACTGGACAGCTGACTAGTTTGTCTTGAAAGGTGATGGTAGATTAAACCTCATAGAGACATAATGGTGGTTTGTGATAAAGCATATTATGTACTCATAGCATTTATTGTTTCCCCAGAGTCAAGTTACACATTTACTCTGGGCCTTTGCATGAAAATATACAAGCTATGGTAAGTTGAGGATTTTTATGGTGACAGGCTCACAGAATAGATATAAGATGCAGTTTCATCTTGGGAATCATTTGTCTGAAGAACATTTGTTTACTTCAGTGCTATGCTAAAGCATGTGTGCTGGCTTATGATGAGGGGCAGACTTGCACATAATGATTCATCAGACTTGCACATAACTGATTCATCACCAGTATGGGAAGTGGTTCCTTTTGCAGAAATATTCCACATGGTTGTAACAAGTTTGCTGACTACATAGTGAAGATTTCTTCCTTACTGTATCCAATACAGTATATGAATAGCAGCTATTAGCTTTCGAGTGTCTGTTCAGGGATAATTTCTATTAAAAATATTAAATGTCCAAAGCATACAATGGATCCAAGTGCAATTCAGTAGATCTATCACTTTTATGTGACATGCTTCTTGAGTCTATTTTGTGGCATACACATTCAATGCTTCTTTTATTTCTAATTCAAACTTTCTACTAAGAATCTACTATGTGATTCATATTTTTTTTTCTATCAAGAGAAATTGGGAATAGAGAATCATAAAAATTACTGGCTTTTCATTTGAAATATTTGCAGGAAAGTAAAATAGTACCTTTGATAAAAGGTTCCTCAGGAACAAATTACATTAAATACAATGAAAATTATTTTTTTTAAAAAAATCCAAAACTATATTCTACACATGTGGATATAGCTAGTTAGCAATAATTTTTTTAAAATGCAACAAATCTTCCAGAAATTTTGGATGTGCAGTCAGTAACCCATAATGTTATAAGAAATCTATGATAATATGTTGAAATATGGATGGGCTTCTGGACCAGATGAAATAATGATAATGTAACGATTTGCCATCTGCTGATCCCAAATCCAGTAACTTTCCTTGCAACCAGTATTGATTCAAAAGAAAGTTCATTTATTGAGAACAAGTGTACAGTTCCAAAGCATTGCTAAGACTGAGCCTGAGCGCACCAAAAGTTGTTTTTCTTACTTTTCCCTCCCTTACCTCCTGGTCTCCTGATTCCCTTGCTGGTACGACCTTGAGCATGCCAGCGCCATCTGGTTCTAACTGGTATCTAACAACGCCATCTGGTTTCCCATTCCTTCCCCTTACAATGGTAGAACCGTAGCATGTAAAAAGCAATTGCTAAACTAGCCAACATAACAATCTACTATTAAATCTTGCGAGGATTCTGACAGATAGAATGATATACAAACTTAAGGAGAAAGTATAGGATTTCTTATACTTTTGGAAATACTTTGGGCATCTTATGAAAATAAAGCCCTGCCAACTTCATACCATTACTGGTAAGGATCCTGCACAATGTACAAGTGATTACCCAATATTTCTGTTAAATGCATTGTAAGATACTTCAACACTAGCAAGAACATTTCAGAATATATGTCTGCAATAATGCATCCTTTGCAATCTAATTTCATGAAAAGACATCAAGCTTCAGATAACAAAAGGTTTACATGATAATATAATGTAATTATCTTATATACTAGTAAGCATAAATCAATAGCTTTGCAAAAGGGCAAAAACTTTTTGATATAGTTCAAATCAGTTTTTTGGTTGAAGTGCTGCAGAGGTTGAAGTAAGTAAAATATTATGCCAATTGGCAAGAAAGATCCAATGGTTGTAGGGAAAAATAGCTTTTATATGTTGTCCAAAAGCTCTTTCCTTCCCAGTAAATACCCAGTTTAGTGGATAAGAACAATTCAAAATGTATCACCCAGATGAGAGAGGGCATTAAGAGATGAATGAAAATACCTTTAACTTTGTGAGGAAGAATTAATGTGAAAATGAATTTTGCATCAAAACTGATACATATTTTGAGCACAATGCTCATGTTAATTTCACTTAAATATTTTGTTTGTTTATTTATGATATGGCAGCCCATCTCACAAAAATAGGTTATATTTTTATGGAAGAAGGAAATATCGAGGATTTTCTTATTAAAGTTACAATATGCCTTTCTTACAATGATGGGGGTTTTAATTTTCCTGATTTTAAACAATACAGTTGGGCTTTTTTGTTAACCTCAATCATGTGCTGGAATGGAAATGATAGGGACTACTTACCATTGTGGACTCATCTTTAATACTCTTGCAATCCTAGGAAACTCTTGGTTCTAATTACAGTGGGAATTTGTTTATTTTTCCACCACTGACAGTAACCAGACATATCTGGGCCTTATTGGGCCAAGAGACGGAGAAAAAATGGCTGTATTGCAAAAATTAAGACCAGTGATCTACCAGACTATGAGACTCTGACCATACTAGTCTTTGTGTTTCACCACTCCTAGTAAATTATGCAGTCCTTATTGGTAGTCTGCAGTCTTTCTTTCTTTCTCTCTCTCTCCGTCCCCCCCCCCCCCCCCCAC